TTCAAATAAGCAAGGAATATGCAAGATATGCATGGTAAAATACATTTTAAAGCAAATTCATTATTTCTGAAAGACTATCCATTTTAAAACTTAATTTAGTATTAATAAATGTGAATCCATTTGAACTGTGTACAATTTTGATATGTAAGGGTCAATATTCACTAATAAAATGATACATTATTGTCGTAATTTAGTAAATTTTATTATACTACAATGATTGAGCTATTAAGTTATGTATGGTAAACTAAATTTAAAAGCAAATTCATTATTCGTTAATATCCAATATAGGTAGGTATCTAAAGAAATATAGAATTTATGAAAGTCAGCAGTTTAATAAATGCCTAATAAAAACATACTTCACAATTTAAACTTAGTGAACATTGTTTGTACAAGAGGTGCAATCGAATAATAAATTATATGTATATTTACTATTTACTATTTCGCTATACTATTTATTACATTATTAAATGAGACTAATGTTTAAACAAATTACTTAAAAAAGTACTCATATGCTCAAATTGGTTAAAAATAGTTGGTTTTGTGCAAATAACCTTGTAAAATATAACTACAGTCCTTTAAAAAGTTGTTAAAAAGTTATATCATTATAGGTGCCAACTATTTGTTTAAAACACTCGCATACTTTTATTTTCAACTAGTGTATACTCTCAATACAATATAATTATGACTGCCATTTTACTTGCAAAATTTTGGTCCACGCCAGAGGTTTAAATGAGTTCAATCGTCTTATAAAGGTATTGGTATACACTATTAAATAATGTGACCAATGTTTATCAACAAGTGTATACTCTCAATACAATATAATTATGACTGTCATTTTACTTGCAGAATTTTGGTCCACGCCAGAGGTTCAATCGTCTTCTAAAGGTATTGGTATACACTATTAATTAATTAATGCGAAAAATGTTTAAACAAATTAGTAGAAAATAATTATTAGGCTTGTATGAATAACCTTGTAAAATATTACTACATTAAAGTTTTAAAGTCAAAAAGTTATACATTTTATAATTTTATTAACACAAACCAACAAAAACCCATACATGCAAATATTCATTAAGTAAATTATTGAATTCTATGAAATTAGGTATTACTTATAAGTCATGAATCAGGAATTAAAGTAAAATAATGTTAAATACATTAGCAAAATAGCAAATCTAGATATAAGTATCTAAAATATTCTGATTTGTTCCACTTTTCATTATGATATCATTATGGAGAATAAGATTTAATGAAAACAATGATGTCACATTAGAAAACTTAGGAAATTAAGAATACACTTAGATTTGTGATGAAAAGGCTAATTTGAAATTTGAAATCCTAGATATGTATAAATGAACAATGGACTTTTAGATAAAGATATTTAGGTGCTGAAATAATTTGAATTGTTCCATTAAAGTAAAAATATATCATCAGACACACCAACGGCACAATATGAATAATATGGAGAATATTATTTAGTAAAAAAAATATTGTCATGTTTGAAATCTTAGGAACTATGACTTTTAGAGAAATTAAATGTTGCTTTTTCATAATAATTTACCATACATAGAATTGCAATGAAAAAGCTAATTTGAAATTTGAAATCCTAGATAGGTACAATAATGAATAATGACTTTTAGATAAATTGAAGAATAATTTTATTGAGAATAATGACGACTATGAAATTTAAAAATGTCTTATTCAAAATGGTTCAACTTGTCTACATTTCAAGAATTTAAAAAATGTTTTAATTCTTAGAATTAATTCTTAAAAAAGTAAACTTTTTTCTTAAACTGTTTGAAGAAAATGGATCATATCCAATAAAACAGTTTTAATTTAAATCAATGGGCTAAATAAAATTAAGTTAAGTCATGAGTAAGAAATTGAAGTAAAATAATATTAAATACATTAGTATTATATAGATATTTAGGTGCTGAAATATACTGAATTGTGCCACTTAATATAACACTGTATATGGTCTAATGTATTGATAATAGATAAGTAAATGTATTAACATTACCACTCAGAAAATAAAACTGGATTAAGCATTCTATATTGTGTTATTCTTAGATATCTATCTTGCGTACGTAAATTGTTATACTAACATAATTAAATACGACTTTGAAGGCATTTACAAATTGATAAATAATCTAACTTACATATCCTCAAATTTTAACTAATGATGGTGATGAATACAAATATAATTTTTCTATGATACAAAAAAGTACCTTCTTAGAGTAAATAGAGTTCTTAGAGTCTTCTGTTGTCAGTTTAAAATAAATTCAAACATTTCCAGACGATAACAACCAGTTGACGAAAATTCAAACGCACTAACTACAATGACTTAAAAATATCAACCAGATTGAAATAATAAAATATTTAGATATTATGTATTTTAATTTATATTTAATTTAACTTTTAAGTTTTAAGCATTTTCGTGGTTTTAACTGTCATACATAAATTATAAAGTAAAAAGTGACAAGCGTTATCAATTATCATAGAGGTAGCACACGATTTATAGACTTAACCACGGTTAAAGATATACAGGCAGGGGTACGAAACTCCGTGCGATGGCCGAACCAGCTGGCGATTGCGGCCTTGAACACGGTCTTCAGGAGGGCGCGGCATACGTGAAAACCCCGCGTCCCGTATCCCGCCATAGTCTTGGAACCAATTCTTAATATACGGGTCTAACATCATGTTGGTGCGGGAACCAATTCCATGTTTTTCGTAGGATCAGACTTCAGTTCATAGGGAACCAATACCCCAATCAGCTGATCGAGTTTCGCTTCTATATTGTTCTGTGATACAGGTTAGCTATCGTCTATCTAAATAGCATTGGCAGCCTGCTGCGGTCAGTACGCGATACGGGTTTAGTATACATTTTCACCACATCCTTAGAGCGCTAATGGCAAGTAGGGTTATAGATTATAGACTATAGTGATAATTTTATTTATTTTATCAAGTATTTAAGTTATAAGCACAGATATAAAATACCTTTATATCTGTGGTTATAAGTCTTTTAACAGTAAACAGACAAAAGTGAAGTTTAAATCACAGCCTTATTTAAAGTTTGAAGTTTTCACTTTTCTGGTGCATTATACAGCTTTTCTTTATTCAGGTATGTAATTTTGAACTAGTCGTTGCAATATTATGTAAAATAAAAGTGTTGTAAAATATCTTAGAAAATAGTATTCAAATAGGTAAAATTACTATCAAAATTTTTTTTGTAATTTTAAAGTAATACTTTTAAATCGTATTTAAGACAAAGTTTACACTATTTTTTTAATATCAACTACCTAGTAAATTTTAGTTATAATTAGTAAGTTGTATTCAATACAATGAAATAGTATTTACAATTTTTCAAATATGTATTAAATTATTAAAGAAATATTTGTAAATATTTATAAATATTTATAAATATTTATACTTTTACTCAAATACTTCACAACACTGAATTTACTTTATTCTACTTATAAATTATAATGGTCCAGTATTTTAGGATAGTGGATAATGCCTTGTTCATGTTGCGTAGTTGGTTGCAAAACTGGATATTAGTCTAACCATAGTACAATTAAGGCATCTACTTTTTCTTTTCCTACGGATGAAAATTTAAAGAAAAAGTGGATAAATAAATTACCCCGAAAAGATTTGATTGTTACTAAAAATTCAGCAATTTGTGAGTGTCATTTTACTGCTGATCAAATTATTAGAACATGGACTTCAGGGGTTGGTGATAAACAAGTGTGTGTAAGTATCTAGATAATTTACTTTTTAAAATTAAAACTGAAAATTTTTTTTTTTTATTACTCATTTATTTCAGACTATTTTATTTATCCGATTAACTATTTATTTAAATGAACAATGTTTTTCAGATAAATTTGAAGTATCCAAAACCATATCTTTAACCGTGATGATAGTTATAATATCAAACCTTAGATCATATTGTATATGATCTGAGTATCAAACGGTATACTGTAGTACTTTGAACTGACTACTGTATACTGTAATAAAGTGATAATTCGATACCCGGATTACTAAGGTCGTACAACGGAAGCACTTTTAGTATTATTCACTGTTGAAATTTTATAAATTAACACCAATATTCAGATGTCGATAGCTCCTTCAATTATTATCACATAAATGTAAATGAACCGTCAAAATTCATTAAAAATTAAACTGTGCACGAATCATATTTCAAAAATATAGGTTCCCATTCGAATTTTAAAAGTTGACCCTCAAATCTCCCCATCCCAATTAATAAAAAAAATATTTAATATCAAATTAATTTAGATTATATAATTCAAAATAATTTTCACATGAGTCATTTTCCCCTAATTTAAATATATCATGTTGAAATCTACTGTCACATGAAATTTGGAACACCCTGTATATATATGTTTAACATGTATGATTAGGTATAATATTATTATTAATTATTATACATCAACATGACAACATCTATATATATAAAACTGAAATCAAGCAAAAGAGGAAATCTTTGTTACATTTGGCTTCGAAACTTCTTATCCAATTGTCATGCAGTTTTTTTTAAATGAAAGAGGGTATCACGGAGCAGGTTTAAGGAATAAATAAAGTCCGATAATGTTAGTCAATAATTAGTTATCTATACACAGTGGCGCCGAACTATTTTTTTTTAGGTGTGGCAATGAACAATTACTTATATAGCAGAATTAGATGACCTTTTAGTCAAATTCATCGTTAACATTTAAAAATGGTCGATATCGACTGGTGTTGTATATTATTTTTGTTAACATTTTATTTTATTTTTTTAGGCTTAGAAGAAGCTATTTCGGCTGGGAAATGGGAATACACTAAAACAATGTTGATACGAGTTTTATGTCGCCTACACTTCCGTCTGGAAGAGGGCCCAAAACACTCTGTGTAACATTCTAAACCAAGTAGATCCAAAAAACAGTTGCACAGTGCACAAAAATTGGCGACTGAACGAGCGGCATTACGGAAGTCTGACCGGCCTCAATATGTCTGAAACGGCAAAGAAGTATGGCGAAGACAAGGTATATTAATTATTAACCCACGGCTATCACGTTATTAGTTATATTATCATTATCTTAATTACCTAGGTACCTACTTATTATTACGATGAATGCAATTTTCTTTGTTTTTTCTTCTGGACTATATTCGAGGGGACAAAAATAAATTATCATAATAATTTTTGCAGGTCAAAATGTGGAGGCGCAGTTTCGACATCCCACCACCGCCAATGGAGGTTGATCACCCTCACTACCGTCACATAAAATACGACCCCCGTTCCGTAGACGGTCCCTCCGAGAGTGAGTTCCCAACACATGAATCATTAAAAATGACTATACAAAGGACACTGCCATACTGGGATAACGTGATCGTCCCTCAGATCAAAAATGGGTCTCGGATTATAATAGCAGCTCATGGAAACAGCCTCAGGGGCATAATAAAACATTTAGATAGTGAGTGAAATAACATCCCGCCAATGGAGGTTGATCACCCTCGTTACTGTCACATAAAAAACGACCCCCGTTAGGTTAGGTTAGGGTAGACGGTCCCTCCGAGTATGAGTTCCCAACACATGAATCATTAAAAATGGCTATACAAAGGACACTGCCATACTGGGATAACGTGATGAAACTTAAGGTCGCTTAACCAGTCGTAGTCGGAGCACAGAGAGCCGGTTCTTACCTTCACTGGTAGGGATCGGCAGGCTCGGAGCCAGCCTGCACACACTCGCAAAGGCTCTGAACCGGCCCTGACCTTAACCAGTTGGGGCCGGCAAGGTCAGAGGTAGCCTGCTCCCGGACGAGCAAAGCCCTAAGGGAAGGAAATCCCCGACAGAAAAACCAGGCTAGAACTGTCCTCAACAGTCTCCCAGGAGGGCGATCACCTCCCGAGACGCGGCAAGATCAGGACTCAACCGACCGGACAGAACGCAACGGGGGCCTGGCAAACCCTCGCCAAGGCACCGGCCATCTGCGGACGTGGCGTACCACAGATCACAAGCCGTTCGAAAGATGGATTCACAACATAAGATAAATTCTACCCCAGGTGATGAACTGGCTAAGCCAGGGAATCCACTCTCCGAGGAGACAGGCCCCACGGATTCTGGGGGGGGCCAGCCATCAATCGTTCCCACAACGGTAATCACCGTAAACTCGAAAAAGAACACGGACAATGGAAAATCTGGAGACAACACGATAACGCGCGCACAAGCTGAAGCGAAGTATACCAAACTCTTGGGAGACACGCAGACTCATCTGGAAGCACTGGAAGCAGCAGTCCAAGCTGCGTCCAACACGAAACTGGACATCAAAAATGGAATCAGGGCCCTAGGCATATGCTTCAGGGAATTCCAGAACAGTGCAAGAATGATTGGGATGACCCGAAATCCGGATGCTACTGAACTTCGTGTTCGGAACTTGCAGCATCAGCAGCAAACCCAGCACGCGCAAACCACGAAGCTGATCAACACAATACGCGAGGAGCAACTGCAGCACCAACAGAGCATATTGCAGAAAATTGAAGAGCTGACCCAAAAGCAGCAAGTTGTAGATCACGGTGACGATATGCAGGGTTCTCAAGATAGGTTTAACAGCCAGGACGAACGGCTTGCATGTCAAGATCGCAAATTGGACAAAATAATTTCTGACCTGGACCGAACACTTCGCCCACCGGCTGACGTGCCACAACAACGGCAGCAGCAGCAGCCCGAGAAGCACCCTAAACAGGCAACCCTGCCCGTAAAACGGAAAAAACGGCAACCAAGTCAACAGGTACAACTGGAGAAGGACCAGGAACACCATCAGGAGCAGGAGCAGGGGCAAGAACGGGATCAGCCCCAATCGCAGCAGCAGCCCACGTGGAGTCAGGTGGTTGGAAGAACCCGCAAAGAGAGCAATAGGAATCCTCGCCAAGCCCAACAGCAACAGCAACGGGAAGAGCCACGAGCAAAGACCAAGAATAAGAGGAAAGAGGCTGCCAGACTGGTGAAGAGTAGGACCCCAAAGACTGAGGCTATAATGATAGACCAACTGGCCGAGGGAGAAACCTACGCCTCTGTAATGAAAAGAGTTACTGCCATCGACCTTAACCCACTCGGTGTCACGGTGAGAGGTGCCAAACGCTCAAAGGCAGGCGGCATCATTATTGAAGTAGACGGAAAGGATGACGCCGACAGACTTGCAGAAGGGATAAGGGAGGCCGTTGGAGCAGCAGCAGCTGTTAGGAGACCGACTAGAAGCACCCCAATTCTTATCCTGGACGTGCCAAACTGGATAGAGGAGGCGGAAGTGATTTCGCAGCTGGTAAACTTTGACAGCAGTTTCGGGGACTGTCAAATCAGAATATCTGATAACCAAGGAAGCTGAACAGCCTTTTGTAGAATACCGATGAAGGTAGCCTCAAAAGTGGCAGACGCTGGTAGAATCCGCATAGGCTGGGCGATGTGCAGAGCAAAACTGTTGGAGAGGAAGGACCGAGTGTGCTATAAATGCCAAGGGACAGGGCACGTAGCCGCGGCTTGCAACTCAGAGGCGAAGCCGAAAGCGTGCTTCACGTGTAAATCTCTGGAACACCTGGCTCGAGAATGTGTTGCTCCACCAAGGGAGAAAACCAAACCGACGCGAAGCAGGACTCCGCCGCTACAATGCGAGGAGCCTGAGAGGAACCCTCCTCCAAATGATTAAATACATTCAATGCAACCTGAACCACTGCAAAGTGGCTCAGGACCTGCTCCGGCAGCATGTGGCCGAGCAGCGCGTGGAGGTTGTGCTCATCACCGACCCCTATTCTGCTCCCGAAATAGCAACTTCATGGTTCACCAGCTCTGGAACCCAGAGAGCAGCCATTTGGCTCGTAGGCAACGCAGTCACCGCAGCCGAAATCCACAGAGATCCAGAGTTCGTTGTCCGCTCGCATCAACGGGGTCCAGACTTTTAGCTGCTACGCTTCACCCAACAAGTCACGGGCCGAGTTTGAAGACCTCCTGCGGAGATTGGAACACAAGGTCAGAGCCGTCGAACCAGGGGTCCCAGTACTCATAACAGGAGATTTCAATGCGCGGTCAGCGGCATGGGGAGACTGGTGCCGCGATACCCGAGGAGAAGATCTGAGCACGCGGCTTAACTCTCTTGGACTGCAGGTCCTAAACGAGGGATCAAAGCCAACCTTTGTGGGCATAGGTAGAGGCTCTATAGTAGACATCACTGCCGTGTCCGAGTCCCTTGTGAGACGCGTCTCTGGATGGCGCGTGTGCGACGAGGTGGAAAGCATGTCTGACCATCAGTACATCGCGTTTCAAATAGAGGATACTAGAACCAGAGCGCCCGCAATCAGAAACGAGCCGAGGGGCTGGAAGACCGAAGGCGAGATTAGCAGCCAAGACATGGAAATAGGACTTCTTTTGGCGAGGTGGACCAGCGATCCCACCCTGTTTGCGACATCTGCCAATGCCGAACAACGAGCCCAGGCCGTACACGAGTCCATCACTAAGGCCTGCGACTTCACCCTCAAGCGCATGGTTCCTAACCCTACGGGGAAACCTCCGGCTCACTGGTGGAACGAAGAAATTGCCTCCGAGCGAAGAAAATGCGTGGCGGCGAAGCGAACCAAAACCAGATGTGTCTCAAAACTCCACCGCAACCGCGCACGTGGACAATACTCTGCTATTGAAGAGGAAACTGCAATCACCGCGAACTCCGCCTATAAGGAAGCCAGGAAAGGACTGAAAATCGCCATCGCGCAGAGCAAAAAGAACTGTTGGAACGAATTACTAGAAACAATCGACAATGACCCATGGGGAAAACCCTACAAGCTGGTCGCTCGAAGACTACGCGGTCCTCCCGCAACAAGCAACATGGAACTCGAATCAGTACGACGAATCACGGAAGCACTCTTCCCCGTCCATCCCCCGATGACGATGCAAACTCTCGAAGCAAATGAGACGCCTCCACCCTTCACAACAGAGGAGGTTAACAAAGCGGTTGAAAGAATCAAGCGGAAAAACACCGCCCCAGGTATGGACAACATAAATGGAAAAATAATTAGCGTTGTTCACCAGGTATGCCCGTCCATGCTACTGGGAATGTTTAACCAGTGCATAAAAGAAGGAGTGATCCCTTCCGGCTGGAAGAGAGCCCGCGTCATCCTCCTAAAGAAGGGCAACAAACCAGATGGGGAGCCTGCTTCATACAGACCTATCTGCCTCCTGAACGTGGTAGGTAAAGTATTCGAGTCCCTGTTGGTGGCAAGGCTACACGAACACATTGCCGGTAGAGGCGGATTGTCCCGTAACCAGTTTGGTTTTACCAAGCAGCTGTCCACGGACGACGCGGTGAGGAAACTCCAGAGTACGATCCTAACGGAAATAAATTTCCCATCGTCAAAGTTCTGCGTGGCAATCAGCCTGGATATCAAGAATGCCTTTAACTCCATCGGCTGGAACGAGGTCATGCTAGCACTAAGCCAGGCCGAAACCCCCATGTACCTGAAAAGAGTCTTCCAGGACTACTTTTCCGGGAGGTCAGCCGAAACCTCGGCTGGAGACCAAAAAGTGGAGATTCAGGTGTCGAGTGGCGTTCCGCAAGGCTCTGTCGTCGGCCCGCTTCTCTGGAACCTCGCCTATGATCGGATTCTCCAACTCCAACTCCCGCGGGGGTCCAGACTGATCGGCTTCGCTGACGACACCTTAGTCGTATGCTCGGGGAAAACCATACCAGAGCTGGAAACAATAGCCAACGAGACGCTTTCTTTGGTTTCCAATGAGATCCGGAACATGGGACTGTCACTGGCGGTACACAAAACCGAGGCGGTCGTGTTCTCCAACAAATACAAGTATGAAACCCCAAGGCTGATACTTAACGGGCAAACCATCCAGCCGAAGGACAAGATGAAATACCTGGGGATGATAGTGGAGCGCGGCCTACTCTTCAAGGACCACATTGTCGAAGCCGCATCTAAGGCGGAAAAAATGTCAAGCGCCCTAGGGAGACTTATGCCCAACATCGGAGGCCCAAAAGAGTCCAGAAGGAAGCTTCTGTTATCAGTAACGACGTCGATTCTCCTCTACGGAGCACCATCATGGGCGGAGACAATGTCCCTGGTCCCGAGAAACAAGTCACTGGTAAATGGCGTGCAGCGAAAGGCACTACTCCGAAGCATCTGCGGCTACCGAACAGTTTCGGAAACAGCAACAAGCATCCTGGCTGGCACGCCGCCTGCCGACTTACTGGCGGAGGAACGCAGTGCCACGTTCAGCGAAAGGAGGTCTGGAGTACGCAGTGAGTTCTCTCCCCGCGCCTCCACAATGGCGAAGTGGAAAGCCCGCATCGCCGAGTCCATATCCGGTGAATGGAGCAAACGGTTAATCCCCGATGTTGAAAGGTGGTGCCTCGGCAAACAAGGGGACCTAGACTTTCATTTAACCCAAATACTTTCTGGACATGGTTGCTTTGGAGTCTACCTCCACAGAATCGGCAAAGAGGAGTCGGACGCATGCCACCACTGCAACGCATGCCGCGACAGCGCAGAACACACGTTGGTCGAATGCCCGGCATGGGTCGAGGAGAGGCTGCAGTTGGCACGCGCGACTGGTGGAACGGTATCAGTAGACAACCTCGTGCCTGCCATGCTGTCCTCTCATGCAAACTGGCAGGCCGTCAAAGACTTTGCCAGAGCGGTGATGAGTAAGAAAGAGTCTGACGAAAGAGACAGGGAGCGTCCAGGTGGACCAAGACCAAGGAGGGTTTAGGAGAGGACCAGACGGACGCACGCGACATCCAGGGCGGCGGACTCCGGTCGGCCCGTCGAAAGGTTGAGCACCAAGCACGAGATTACAAGGGCGACGGACTCCGGTCGGTCCGACAAGACAAGAGGAGGAAGGCGTTACAAAATAAAAATGAAAGATGTAAATGAATGATGTATAACATGTTATGTTAACGATGGGGCAAGTCGGGGTGTTGTCCCGCCTACCCCATCCGTATGTATAAATTGTTAATTTTTTATTTAGCAATAAACGATGGCGGCGCCACGGACGCAATGCGAAAGCAGTCCCCGTGGCGTCGTCGATTCAAACACAAAAAAAAAAAAAAAAAAAAAAAAGGTTAGTGTAGACGGTCCCTCCGAGTGTGAATTCCCAACACATGAATCATTAAAAATGACTATACAAAGGACACTGCCATACTGGGATAACGTGATTGTCCCTCAGATCAAAAATGGGTCTCGGATTATAATAGCAGCTCATGGAAACAGCCTCAGGGGCATAATAAAACATTTAGATAGTGAGTGAAATAACATCCCACCACCGCCAATGGAGGTTGATCACCCTCGTTACTGTCACATAAAAAACGACCCCCGTTAGGTTAGGTTAGGGTAGACGGTCCCTCCAAGTATGAGTTCCCAACACATGAATCATTAAAAATGACTATACAAAGGACACTGCCATACTGGGATAACGTGATCGTCTTTCACATCAAAAATGGGTCTCGGATTATAATAGCAGCTCATGGAAACAGCCTCAGGGGCATAATAAAATATTTAGATAGTGAGTGAAATAACGTCCCACCACCGCCAATGGAGGTTGATCCCTCTCGTTACTGTCACATAAAATACGACCCCCGTTAAGTTAGGTTAGGTAGACGGTCCCTCCGAGTGTGAGTTCCCAACACATGAATCATTAAAAATGACTATACAAAGGACACTGCCATACTGGGATAACGTGATCGTCCCTCAGATCAAAAATGGGTCTCGGATTATAATAGCAGCTCATGGAAACAGCCTCAGGGGTATAATAAAACATTTAGATAGTGAGTGAAATAACATCCCACCACCGCCAATAGAGGTTGATCACCCTCGCAACTGTCACATAAAAAACGACGCCCGTGAGGTTAGGTTAGGTTAGGTTAGTGTAGAGGGTCCCTCCGAGTGTGAGTTCCCAACACATGAATCATTAAAAATGACAAACAAAGGACACTGCCATACTGGGATAACGTGATCGTCCCTCAGATCAAAAATGGGTCTCGGATTATAATAGCAGCTCATGGAAACAGCCACAGGGGCATAATAAAATATTTAGATAGTGAGTGAAATAACATCCCACCACCGCCAATGGAGGTTGATCACCCTCGCTACTGTCACATAAAAAACGACCCCCGTTAGGTTAGTGTAGACGGGCCCTCCGAGTGTGAGTTCCCAACACATGAATCATTAAAAATGACTATACAAAGGACACTGCCATACTGGGATAACGTGATCGTCCCTCAGATCAAAAATGGGTCTCGGATTATAATAGCAGCTCATGGAAACAGCCTCAGGGGCATAATAAAACATTTAGATAGTGAGTGAAATAACATCCCACCACCGCCAATGGAGGTTGATCACCCTCGTTACTGTCACATAAAAAACGACCCCCGTTAGGTTAGGTTAGGGTAGACGGTCCCTCCAAGTATGAGTTCCCAACACATGAATCATTAAAAATGACTATACAAAGGACACTGCCATACTGGGATAACGTGATCGTCTTTCACATCAAAAACGGGTCTCGGATTATAATAGCAGCTCATGGAAACAGCCTCAGGGGCATAATAAAACATTTAGATAGTGAGTGAAATAACATACCGCCAATGGAGGTTGATCACCCTCTTTACTGTCACATAAAAAACGACCCCCGTTAGGTTAGGTTAGGGTAGAC